TTATTCCTTTTTAAATCATGTTTGTCTAAATTCCATAACAAAATAAATTATTGTTGATTCAATTTAGTAAATGATTAAGAATATATTTTTTATTCAACATAGCGAATGATTGCGAATGAGGTATATTTGTTCCATTATATAATAAACAAAATATATTCCCATCTCCGGCCATACTCCTATCCTTTAAAATTCGAACATTTTCTTTCTTTATTTCATTTATTTTCATCAACCACATCACCTCAAGAAGCCCCTGTATCTATCTCCCCTTATTAAACATAACGAATGGATGCGAATGAAGTATACTAGTTCCATTATATAAACAAAATATATTCCCATCTTCCCATTCAAAACACGCATTTTTTTTCTTTCTTTCTTTCATTCCTTTCCATCTTACCTCAAGAAGCCCTGTATCTATCTTCCCTTATTAAACATAACGAATGGATGCGAATGAAGTATATAGTTCCATTATATAAACATTTCCCATTTCCCATTGCATTTTTTTTCTTTCTTTCTTTCATTCCTTTCCATCAACCACGTCACCTCAAGAAGCCCCTGTATCTATCCCTCGTTCCTTGAAATAACCCGAGTCTCCTCTCGTTCTTTTCCTCTTCAGTTCGGAAATATCAATCCGTTACTCGTCCAGTTGTGGCGATAAAAAGGAACGCGACACAGGCTTTGATATCGGGCCTTCAAAGCCTGCGCGTCGAGCAGAAAGCCGCATCGCTAAGCCAGGATTGAGGTGAAGGACACATTACCGGGTTCAGCTACACTAACGCTGGATTATCCTTTGGGTTTTTGTTTTGCACGATGTTGGCTTGTCAATCAAGGACGCGATGAAACCGTAATTAGCAAAGAGAGAGAGAGAGAGAGAAAGAGAGAGAAAAAGAGGAAGAGAAAGAGAGAGATCTTCACTAAAGCGATAACCTGGTTTTCTTTTATTTGATGAAAGATTAAGGTAAATGCTTAAGAACTGATTCAAGTTTCAATTAAAAAATAAATGCAAAATGATAATTAATCAACAGGTAACCATATTTGCGGGCGTGCCACCCTGCTCTTTTGAAGTTAAATGAGAAGAAATTCAGGGATCTTCGTCTTGAGAGAGAGAGAGGGGGGAGCAGAGGAGAGAGAGAGAGAGAGAGAGAGAGAGAGAGAGAGAGAGAGAGAGAGAGAGAGAGAGGAGAGAGAGAGAGAGGAGAGAGAGAGCAGAGAGACGAGAGAGAGAGAGGGGGGGAGAGAGAGGGAGAGAGAAGAGGGGGGAGCAGGACGAGAAAGAGAGAGAGAGATAAAGATAAAGAATGAGAGAACCAAGCTCGTTCCAAAAGAAGTCATTGAAGCTGATCACCTCTTACCCAATAGACAAGAACCAACCACAGGCTCCATGCAATTTCGTAATCCAATTTAAAAACAAGAAGGAAACTACATTCCTCGACAATCCTCCTCCTCGGATCGATCGGGAAGATGGTGGTCTTGAGGTCGTTTTGCCAAGGAAAAGAAAACAACTTCCGCCTTATCGACAGGAAGTTGCAGAAGATCTTGTTTGAGTCAGCGAGACTTCCCTCTTGAGGCTCTCTAATCAGAATTTTATCTTCTCCTCCTTTTTATCCCTTTTCTTTTCTTTTTTTCTTTTACTGCTTCTTCTCGAGATCTTAAGATTCTTCTCCAGTTCGAAAATAAAAAAGGAAAAAAAGACATCAATCGCTTTCCTTTTTTAAACACTCTCGAGTCTCTTATTTATATTAAACTCTCGGTGTTTTGTTTTCACTCTTTCTTTCAAAACTGTTTGTGCATTACTCAAACCTGCTCTTTCGTCAGGGAAACACGGACGCACCATTTCAGTCTGATAAGCCACTGCAGACAAGAATAAGCCGGCTAAGCCAGTTCCCTGCAGCGGGAAATTGAACGTCAAAAAGCAAAACAAATGTGAGTGTATTTTTGTTTTTGAAAAAAATCAGGTTGTTATAAAAAAGATGCTTTCATCCGATGACGGCAAAAGGGAATTCAAATTACTTTAAACCTTTTAGCGAATTGACAGAAGTTGAAAGCGACAAAGAACTATGAATTTGTGATACTTTTAGCATATGGAACGTTGCTTCATAGTTGGCTTTACTTGCACGAGAAGGCACTATATTACCATGACCTGCCATTGTCGTGAGGGCACTTTGGCACATCAGGACAACATTGTCATGTCTGGCGGTACCACCATGTACCCTGGTATTGCTGACCGCATGCAAGGGGAAATCACTGCCCTCGCTCCTTCCACCATCAAAGAGTGAGAAAGAGAGAAACATAAAAATAGTGATAATGCAGTACGAATATGATGATTAACGGAAGAAATTGTATTTTTTTAGAAACTAACCCTTTCAGAGTAAAGAAGTTAGTCCTATACACTGAAAGCATTTCTGTGAAAGTAACAATTTTCAGCATGGAAACCATTTCTCAGAAACAAACAATTAGTCTTACTAAGCGTGGAAATTATTATACAAATGCGTTGCTCACATGA